CCCTGTTGTCCTTGCACATTGCAGCAGGGCAAAGGGGCTCTAAAATGCCATCAAACCAAAATGCCAGTACTGTGCCCCCCATCCACAGCAGTGCCAACGTCTACTGAAAGCACGGGGAAAAGGACATCGGGTCCACGGCCTGGGAAGTAGATGGGCTGCAAGCACTAAAGAATCCTGCTCCTGCCGTTTCCCTTCCCATTCAAGATTTACTCAATTAAGTGTTATTAAGCAGATTTGCAATGTTACAGGCCTTTCCTCTCCTTTTTCCAGGCTGTCAGTGGGATTTCTCCTCCCCTAACCACACATCTTCAATTTTAATAACTAATTTCTGACCTTGCATCTTCATTTGCTGGGATCTCAGGCTAAGATCCCAGGGAAACGCCTGCCCTCGTGTTTTTGAAAAATGCTACACCGTTTCCCTTGTATATCAATGACAAGAAACCTAAAAATAGCTAGCACACCAAAGCCTTATAAAAGGCAGAAAAAAAATAGATCAACAATGAAAGCTAGTTTATCATTTCTTGCAACAGTTTATACATCTTCAGCTTGCGTCCCTGGAACAGGCACAGTACGTCTTTATTTATGGTTTATTATTACTAAGCTGTATTCACAGTATAATAGTACCCAGAGGCCATGGTCAGCCCCAGTCTGCTAGGCACCGTGCCCGTAGAAGACAACCAGGTTCTGGTCCCAGCAAGAGATTTGAAGGAGGGCTGTCCGTGTGATTTAGCCAGGAGTACTCCAGTTTCTCTAGAAGAACACAATACTAATATCTGTTCACCACAAAAAAAATCAATGGCCTTCCATACTGCAGGGATGCTGAAATGTTGTAACCACAACAAGAAGGAAGACTTGCTTGGCAATATATCTTTCATTGAACCAACCATACAATCAGGAGGGATGTTAGATAAGCTTTTGGCACCAAATGGCCTTCCTCAACTCGGAAAGAAGAGAGGTGCAATGCAGAAAGACACAGAGGTGGAAGTGGATTCAGAAAGCCCCAGACCTTTGCAAAGTCTTTTCAGCAAATGCCATGAGAAAGTCTATTTCTTGGGTGACGAGAGAGCTCTCAAAATCCAGACTGTTCTTCCCAGAGCTGCCTAAACACTTCCCATTTGGGATGGAAAGAAGTTTGCAAACATTGCATCCAACACAGTTTGCATTAGAGCTACGGGTTTGCAGGCCCTGTAGTTTTGGGGAGTTAGCTTGCCTGTGTTTGATCACGGCTAGGTAAAATGCAGCGCTTGCTGGTTTGCCGGAAATTGAAAATGAACAAACTTAATGAATAAACAGTGACCTGCATAGTCTCGTAAGCAAGAAAATGCGATTCAGACCATGGCACAAAGCACCACATTTTCCATTTCCATTGCTGCAGCCCAGGGAACAGGGGAAAAAGGCCTCAACCAACGTCTTCCATGATGAACGCAATTTGATACAATCGCATTCAGATCCCCACCTCCACTGAAGAGCTCTTCAGCTCAGGGGTAGGTGGAGTCTGGGTCCTGCCACAGGCTAGGACTGAAAAAGCCAAGGGTAGGTCAATATTCATCAGCCACATGGTTCCTAAAACCTGTCTACGTGAAAGCACTAATGATTAGCTCATCCCCAGAGATTGTAACCAAGCAATCCCATGTGAAGAAACAGATAAAATAGATAAAAATAAAGCCAAGGGGGAGATCTAAAAGGTGTTTTATTTTTCTCTCCATGCACCCGTTTCCAGATCTGAATGGAATGGCTTTCTGAATCCTGTAGGCAGGTGCTGCGCATTAGAGCAGGGCGATGTACCGTCCTTTGCCACCATCTCTTTCATGACCCACTTGGTTTATACTCAGGCTTAGTAGGGAGGACAGGGTTTAGTCCACCGAGGTGTAAATACCTCCCTTAATCACACAAGCATATTGACTCTGGAGTGCAACAATATGCACTTTGATAGCACTGTGTCACAGCTGATACTTTCTAAGCATTCACCTGGGGATAGAGCTAGAGCAGACTTTCAGGCCTTCCCTTCTCCCAGGCTGACCCAGCACACAGGGTCTCTGAAAGATGTGTTTTTAATGCATTCACACAGGCTAAACTCTGCTTTAGTGGGGGGCTTCATTACCTGGCCTTGCTCCAACCATTTGATAGCAGAAGTCTGCAAGGCAGGGGCATGGGCTGTCTGGCAGCCAGGTACCACCCCTTCCCCCACCTCCATGCCCTCTTCCTTTCAAAAGTCAATAAGATTTCAAGATGCACGTGGCTTACGTCACCGTGGAGATCATGGTCCAAAGAAAGGAGTGAACTGGGGTCAATTAAGCCCAGAACCTGGATATGTGCAGTCAGGTGTTCGTAGTTTTACTCTTCGGAGCCACAACCACCACTCACTATTTTCCCTTTTCTTTCCTCTCCATCCCCCCGACCCCAGTTGTCTGTACTTGGCTTCTTAAGAATTATTGATCATTCCTGGCCATGAGCGAAAACACAACAGGATCTTCTTGTACAGTCAGTTCCCATTTTCTAAAGGAATCCATGATTTCTAAAAGGTATAAATGCAGCCAAAGAAGATATAATGGCTTGTAGCTGTGCGGGCCGGGAGCGGTCCAAGGCTTTCGGGGGCGCGCAGCGGGCTGTGGCCGGGAGCCCGAAACGGTAGGGCGTGTACTTTTGCACGACGGACTAGAATTAGGCACGGACTCGTAGCGGTTAATTAAAGATTGTTTTACTTACACCATAGGTGGTCGCGGTGCAGGCAGGAAAAACTTTCTTGAGTTGCGGTTACAGACAAACACAAGTGGAGTTTGCTAGGCTCCACTGAAGACACACGCACGGAGTTTGCTAGGCTCCGCAAAAACAAACACGAGAGCTCTGGATACCCTTGACGAGCGCGCAAAACCGTAGATACGTCTTAAGAATTTAACGAATGAGACGGGAAGAGGTTGGTGGTTGATCAGGCCGCCGAACTCCTCTGAGACACACACAAAGTTTCTATTACTCTGCCGCGTGCTCAGAGTCCCCACGAGATGGTTGTGGAGTCCTCTACAACTTGGGCGGAAACCGCTCAAGCCTCTTATACGACTAGCAAGCCAATCGCTAGCCGCCACGTGGGAATAATTTAGAAACAGCCAATATTGGGAAACAAATTTACATACGGGTGGCGGGAACTCCTTTGCACCGGGGTTTTCTCTCTGCAGCTGAGAACTGCACCGTGCAAAGAAAGCTCCATGTGGCGGGAAATAATTCTGCAGTGCCGAAGCGCGCACACAATCATTGGGTCATGACAGTAGCCACTAGAAAGCTACCATCTGCAGCCAGCCTCTCCAGCCACCTTGTTCAATCAAGTGGATTTACCCAGCTAACCCAACAGATCTGGACATCTACTATTTCCATAGTTTGACTCTGTGCATTTTGAAATATGCCAAGGCCCTCTTTTCCAGGGAATCCAGTATAGCTTGTGATTTGGGAACAAATTCATACAACCATCACCATTTCACACACAGCTTTGAGTTCAGTGACTCCTGCTGACTTTCACCAAATTTTTATTTTAAGGCTTGGATGCATCTGAAAATGGGAGAGCAGGATTCAGACATGCACAGTGCAAAACTAAAGCAAAGACTGACATGACTTTCCCTAGGCAGAAAGGGAAATCTATGAATCAGGTTGCATTTTTGCGCTCATCACCATCATTCCCATCCAGCAGTCCAAACTCGCTTGCAGATGCAAACAACTGCTGCAGAAGAGCGAGGCGCCTAGTGGACATCAAATGCAATGAAGGACTTGGAAGGTTTGGATACACAGACATCAAAGAACCTCATTTTTAGGGCAAGACAAAAATAACATTCAACAGAACAAAAATGGAATAATGGAAACGTGGCGAGAGAAAGCATGGCCACGTGCAAAAGTTCCTGAGAACTTCCTCAACAAAGCATGGTGTTGCACAAACGGCTAGTTTCGTGCCCCTGGAGGCTTGTCCAATCCACTCTAGGAGAGAGTCTCTCACACAGGCTGGGTCCAATTTTAGATTTATTGTTTGCAAACAAGTTCGACAAGGGAGCTTAATTTACTTAAATCCGTGTAGACCCCAAACAGAGTCTGGGGTTCCTTTTTATAGCTAACATAAACAAAAGATTTTAACGTGTCGCGTAATTATTGGCAGCCCAAGTATTACGTCTTACAACATATGTCTAGCAGGTACATGTTCTATGACGGTTTACATACATGTCTCATTTACATCTTAAATCTCCTCCCTGGGGCCGTCCTTAAGTCCATTTCGGTCATTCTTCGGTCAAGGTCTGAGTTCTTCACATCAGCATCTTTCCCTGTCCCTCTTCTCTTATCTCTCGTAAGGAGTTATTTGTTGCATCTGTTCCTGGCTATATCTGCAGAAGTCTAGTGCTACTCGTAAATCTATCATTGGCCTATATACCTTAGCAGAAGCAAGTGTGATAATATGCAGAAGCAATTGTGTAGTGAAGCCAAACAGTTTTCAGCTGTGAAGCCTTTGTGTAGTGAGATGAGACATTTTTATCACGCAGCTGCTATACAAACGTTATTGCAAAATCATAATGACTAGATTATAACATATTTTTACCACAATGGCCATCTCTTTCTGCAGGTCGCTTCTTGGACAATAAGCGTAGTTACAGGGCTTGTCCACAACAGGAAACAAACCACTGCTGAAAATGGTTGTGGCCCAACATGTGCTCCTAGCCCAACTTCACCGGACAAACCCTCTCCTGCAAACCTTGCCTTGTTGCTAAGTCCAGCTGAACACAATCTTTATTAATCATATGAAGATAAGGTTCCAACTAGGGACTGTTGTCTGAGCCTGCTCAGAGCAAGTCTAATTGACATGCTACTTAAAAACAACACCAACCCACCTATATATGGCTCCCAACATTGGGAACTTCTTAAGATGTTCCTCTGGGCTAGGCTTAGTCTGCCTGTCTAATCAGAATCTGTTACATATTCTGTTTTCAGGGGTTCTGACTTGTTAAGCAAGACCTTTGCCTTTCTTCTTTCAGCCAGAACTTGGAAAACCTCGGAGAAGTTCCTACACTCTTCCAGGCCCCGATTTTACGTATGGGTTATGCATTCGTGGGACCGATGGAGGTGTGCCTGAAGGTATGATAGTGATGCTATCAGAGGTGGGTCCACCCCACCTAGGTATCATTTGCAAGTTTCTAGTTAACGATATGCCTTTTTCCCCGTTGAGCTAAGGATGGAGAGTAGGAATGCTAACATTTTACTCAATTACATGAATGCAGTCTGTGACATTTGGTAGCTTCTAGGAAAGCAGCTTTCTTGGCCTCATCTTGATCTAGGATGGAGCCATCAGTGGCCAGCCATAGGTATAGTAGCACCAGTGAAACCTAGGGAATGTAGACCAAGAGACTTGCAAGGGGCGCCAAGTGAGCTTATCCCTGCTTGAGTCAGAACAACATCAAACAGTGCAAATCACGGATTTCCTTTTCCTGACTTGGGCCTTATATTGGCCTGGTTACTGCAGGTGCCATCCACTGAGCTCTAATAGCACTGAGTCAAACGTAGTAAATGGACTGGCCCATTCCTGTGCAAGCTTTTGGTACCATACTAAAATCCAGCACCGACATGAAGGCTTTGTCAAATGGCTTTTCCAACCCACCTGGAGAGAAGCAGTTTGCATGGAAAAAAAAATTAAAATCTCTGCGTCAGATATGGATTTTCCTCAGTTCTTGAGATTCTCACTGAGAACCAAACTGAAGTGAACCTGGCTAAATCTGCCCCTATGCAAAGGACTTGCAAAAAGTCCTCGATGCATTGTTGCATTATATGCACTAGACTTAAGTCTGTGCCCTCTGCACAGAATAAGTCATTCACCTAGGACGAGTCATCCAAATGATTTAACACCTTTCTCTTCTGCTTCTTTTATTCTGTTCTATGCCTTAGCAATAGGCCACTGGCACGCAATGAAGCCCAGGCCTCCTTCCCTAAGGGAGAGGCCACGTAATTACATAGCCATGAATCGTGGAGCTCTTAAGGCTGGTTACGTCACAGCTCGGGAATTCAACCTGTACCGCCATGTCAAGGACATTCGCTGCAAAGAGGAAGATGGAAGTCGCTTTAAGAAAGCCCCACCAAGCCTGCCTCCAGACATGACTTTTGGAATCACAGCACGGTAAGTTGGTGGAGAGGGAAACCCTGTGGCTTTTTAAGGATTAGATTCTCCACTCACATCCTCAAGTCTATGACTTCAATCAGTGATGGTAGTGCGATTTGGG